TAATTCTTAYGAAAATATCATTAGCATTTACATATGTTATTTAAAAAATGGGTAGCAATGCTGGCTTTAATAAACAATGGATAGCAATGGTGGCTTTAATAAAAAATTTAGTAAACAATTCTCTTTAATAAACAATTTAATAAACCGAGAATTGTTTATTTAAGCATCTTACATATGCAAAGCATCTCACATATGCCCTCTAGGAAGACAACACAGCTCCTCACAGCCTCATTCATTCCACATGTGGCTATTTCTATTCTGTCAAACCAAATACTCATAAACCTCTGTCCAGTCCTCTTGGTGCTGGTAACAGGGTTAACTCTTCATATTTTATGGGCAGCATGGAACACTGCTTTCTCTTTAAAAGGTTCCTGGAAATGGAAGGCGATCCTCAGGGTTATACAAAATGWCATATAAGAGGAAAKGAGGGGTAAGRCAAGATAATACAAATGGAAGAAATGATTTACAGTAAAAGGGGTAGAGAGAGAAAAGGGGAGGGGAGGGGAGGGGAGGGGAGGGGGGATAGTAGAGAATAGGACAGACAGCAGAATACATCAGACACTAGAAAGGCAATATGTCAATCAATGGAAGGGTAACTGATGTGATACAGCAATTTGTATACGGGGTAAAAGCGGGAGTTCATAATCCACTTGAATCAAACCGTGTAATATGATGTATTAAGAACTATGTAATGTTATGAACGACCAATAAAAAAAATAAATAAAAGGTTCAGCTTTATTCTCTGAGATCTGGCTATTTTCTCTTTTCTGATTTCAAAAAGGGTCTTTTTTTTTCTTTAATCTTATTTTTCTTCTCAACATCTCATTCTTCCACTGGCAACCTAATCACTAATTTTGACTCTGCCAGGCCTCCTTGAAACCTTTTTCCTTCTGTTTTCTTTTCATGCTGTCTAAAGACCATTCATTCTGGTGGTTGTCAAGTGTTTCACCTTTTCTTTCACAGAGACTAGCTAACATTTATGGGGCATGCAGTTGGTGACACCCTCAGGCAGCAAGTTCACTGATGAACCAGGAGTTCTTTAATTTCCACAGTTGAATCCTCACAGGGACTTTTGGGGTCAGCTTTGTGTAAGCCTCTTGTATCAGCCCTGTCTCTAACCAAAGGCTTTTTAGAAGCCCCTAGGTTAATAGTTCAGGGCTTCAATAGTGGTCAATCTTGCTGGAAGTCTGCACTAACATTGGACAATAAGATTTTGGATATGGCTTCTTATCTAGTGTTTTTGTTACTCTACATGTACTCGGAACTAAGCGATAATAATTGGGTGTTTTTCTGTGTACCACCAGGTCCATTTTCATTATTTTCCTTATTATTATCCCTGTTCCTTACATAAAAAAGCAAGCTTAGAGAGTTGAAGTCATTTCCTCTAAGTCTTGCTAGTACTAAGGGAAGGAAATGGATATCAAGCCCAGGTCTGTATAACTCCAGAACCGACTTAAAGAGCACATTTATTCTCGTTGTTTCACTCACAGGATGTAAATGATAGTGTCAGTAAATGGATCCCTTTCTTCACTTTCTGTTCTGAAGTTCAAGTCCTTTTGGACTGCAGTTCCACCCTGCTGTTTGGAAATCCTCTGGGATGATGAGAGCCCTGGACCTGGATATCTTAGACTCTGGAATCTACCATGGGCCCTCGCTGGCAGCACCTACCCAAATGCTCACTCACTGCCAGCTCATCACTGCTGATGTTACTGTCATCCCTACTCTATGACTGTCTTTCTTCTTGGCAATGGTTTCTTGTTGCCAGCTTAAGATCTCTGCCACTAATACTGTGGCCAAACCAAGAATGGGTTTGACTCAGACCAAGTAGCAGTATGTGTTTGAATGGAGGGGGAAAAGACAAAGAGTGACATGAGAGACATTTTGTGCGTGTGTGTGTGTATGTATTTATGTGTGTGAAGACATACGGATGACAGTAATATATTTACTGAAAAATATTTACTAACCCACCAGCACCAGCTAATCAGAATGGATACCTGCTAAAATACGAAGGCAGATTCCTGTCATGTTACCCTGTTAGTTGCTGGGTCTTGATGCTGGTCTAATAGATCCAAGGGAAAGGYACTTTCAGGAGATGGGGAAGTACCTGAAGAATTTCTATATTTTAATATAAAATATTAGCCTACGTGGGTGGGTCTGAGGGAAGGCAAGAAAGATTTCAGAGTGAGTGCTCTTATGTGCTCAAAAGTAAGTTTGAAATATGTTGAATTTGCATATCAAATCTAGTCTCAACCCATACCAATCCTTAAATGAATAGCTAGAATAATCTTTTCAAAAATAAATCCAATCCTTTAATTTCTCTGCTTAAAACCCTATGATGAATCCCATCTCTCTAAAGTACAGTGGTTTCCATTCTTCATTCCGATAAGATGATCAAAACTACTCGATATTTCTGGAACATAGTGTGGTTAGAGCTACACTGTGCCCCCTTTTTCTATCCTGGAGAGCTCCTCCTAATCCTTCAATACTCCCTAATCCTTCACTACTCCCCTTCTCTGGGGAGCCTTTTGCCCATCTGGGCTGTAGTAGAAAATAGCCATGTACAAACTTCTTCCTTAGTTCTGGTTTCCTTCTATTATACCTGGAGGGCTGCATGCCAGCCTCTCACTCCAGATGGTGAAGCCCGTGTCCAAATGAACACAGCAGTTACCTCTTTTCAGCTTTGTAACCTCTATCATTTGCCCAATTCCTGAGTCATAGTGGGGACTCAGTACATCCTCAAAAGAATGGATAGTTTTATTCCTCATCATCCCAGTGGTCCATATAACAAGTATGGGGATGATGGAACTGAGGCACAGAGGGTTTTATGATTGGAACACCACAGGCTTAGGTACAGTAGGAATTTTTGGTGACATTATAACTTTTGGGTAACATTATAACGTTTTGCAATACCCCAGTAAATAACCTAGAAAAATTGAGTTAGGCTCTTTTTGGGTTACTTTCCCCAAGCCATGATGAATTTAGTTTCCACTCCAAACTCTTACCCTGTTTACACCCCAGGAATTCATTCAGTAGGTCCTCCTGGACCAATAATTTTATATGACACTTTCTCTTTGAAAGGTGTATCTTAATTACAGGGTCTCCTTATTCTTTATGCCTTGAGTCTTGGTATATATTTCCTTTAAAAACTATTTTCAGTTGCAGATGGACACAATGCCTTTATTTTGTTTATTTATTTTTATGAGGTGCTGGAGCTCATACCCAGTGCCTCACCCCTGCTAGGCAAGCACTCTACCACTGAGCTATGCCCCCATCCCCTGGATATTTACTTCAATTCTTCTTCTGTATCTCTTTTCCTCTTCTGACTGCTTGACAGTTCTTCAGTGTCCAGGTTTTCCAGGATGAAAGGCTGCCCTCTGGGTCCTGTCTCCTCATGTGGTTCTGGGATCCACCCTTAGGGACTAGTGCTTTCTGGGAATCTATGGCACATAAGCCTTTTAACCTAGGGTCTTATCCAGAGTTCATGTGCAGGTGTGTAGCTTGACTTCTGAGAATCTGAATACCTTATAATGCTCTTTCCAGCATGACTGCAGACCTCAACCTCCAGCTCTTGGGTCCCATCCTAATCTTGATATGCTCAGTGCCAAATGTCTCTACTTGCTGTCACAGTTCGTTGCTGCCCATGGCATTTCATTTTGGTTTTACATTATGTATAAGTGTAGCTGCCAGATAACTATAAATTTTGTAAGCAGCAGATAGAACATTCTATAATTTCCTGTAGATTTTTCTATATAATTTTCTATAAAAATTGGCTGTCTTCAGCTATTATTATAGAATTTATCATGTAATATTTATTATAGAGTCTAGCAGCTATTGTTATATTACAGAAATAACATATAATTTCCCATAGAAATTAGCTCTAGATAGTTCCTGCATGCTGATATATATTTTTTTTCAAGTATAAAGTAAGCAAAAAGAACTCTGGAGTTGTGTTGACCAATATGGTAACCATACATGTGGCTATTAAGTCTTGCAATGTACTGTAAATACAAAACACACTCCTGCTTCCAAAAACCATGAACAATGGAAAACATATACTTCATAATTTTTTATATTTGAGGTTAAATAAAATAAGTTGTTAAAATCAATTTCTCCAGTTTCTTTTTACTTTTTTTTAAAAAAATGTGAATAACAACATATCTACAATTCTATATGTGGCTTGCATTATTTTCTATTGAACTGGTTTACCCTAGAGGATACACCTTGTGATTACTTAGTATTACAAAGTTAACTATATAGAGAGACAATGGGAAGTTAGTGTAGAATTAAAAAGCAGAAAAGGTTATTCATGGCAGGGGGAAGTTTCTGTTCAGATTTAAAATTTCTGTTCTATGTGTACACTGACATGCCACCTGCCCTGACAAGCTTTTAAGAAGACTTGGTAATATCCAGAGAAATGAGGCCAAACTAAATGGCACCTGTCTCAGGCTTGCCACATGGTGCCTAACCTCAAAGGATTAAAGCCAATATTGATTTTTGTCATTTATTTTATCTTGGCATTTAAATATCCCTTAGATTTATTACTGCCAAGTTTTTGGTTAAGATTCCATGATGGATATGATAGAAAAGGTGGTAATAAGTTATGCAGATATCATTTAATTTATGAACTCCAGAGCTCTAGGGTAGCTTTCAGTTCAAGAAATATATTAACCACATACACATCACCCTTCATTTTGTGGTGAGGATTTCCAAGCTGGGTCCCTATTGTGCTACTTAATTTATGGTCTGGCCAGGTACACGGATCTCCATATAATATTTCAATATAAGTTGCGCCCGCCATCACAGGCGATGAAGATGAGCCTCAAAGAAGCCAGCTGGACAGCTGATGGATCACTCTTTTCTATGGGCAGGGGCACTAAGTAGCCTTTAAAGCTTGTCAGAGATTTGAGTCTTTTTCTGCTCTGAGAAGCTGCACACACGGGCCTAGACAAGCAGAATCAGCCATGCTGCAGCAGGCAGAGGGCAGCTCCCGAGTTACTTACGTTGACAGCCGTAGTGCCAGGAATTTCCCGGCAGACACTCATCACACTTAGGCCCTGTCGTTCCAGTCTTACACTCACAAAATCCTGAGCCATTACAACGATCATGGATTGAGCCCAAAGGGTTACAATAACACTCTGTAGAAACAAGACAACACACAGGCTGGAGACAAGTCCGCATGGCTTATAGGTTATCAACACAGGAGCGTCACTTAAATGCATCACTTACTTAAAGAAAGATGTCCATTAATGAAATGCTTCAGCAAATATGGCTATTTCAGGACCATTTATTTATTTGCTCAGCCTTCCATGATATCATTTTTATGATATGGGAGGAAATCAACTGAAAACTTCCAAGGAAATAAGACATCATGTTTTTCACTGGTAACACATCATAATGGAGATTCCATTTGTTAGGGCATTTTTAGATGGTTTAATGAACACCATGAGAAGTTTGTATATCAAGGATAAATCAATRTGCCATCAGTGTAAAATCTGTTTTAAATTATTCAAATGGGCTTATCTGTTACACTCAATATTCGAGAACTGCTGAACATTTAAAAAGTGCAATATGAAAGCACTTTGCTTACTCTGAGGTAGTTTTGCTTTATGGTTTGGGACAGCTCCTTAACTTATTTATATATATACTGTTTTGTGATGAGCCCTTAGATGGTGTATTTGCTAGGCATGGCGGTACATCTTTTATGCAGCTGAGATTAATGATCATGAAAGAAAACTAAATTTCATAATCCCAAATAAATTTCAACCCAGATGTAATTTCAGATGTATATTTTTCATTATAATATCTGCTTCCAGGATAATACAACTTTGCATAGTAAAGAATAAACAGAACATTTTCTTGATTCAGCACATATTCTCATATAGGATATTTTCACTTCTGAAGCTCTATTGTATTTAACGTTTGAATCAGTAGGAATTCTTGGGCTTTGATAAAAAAAAGCCTGGAAGGAATGCATAGGCAGTGTGCCCCTTAAAGAATTCGTGAGCSAAAGTCCCTTTCTTTATTACCAATTTATTTACTCTGGGGCAACTTATTATAACTCTCTGTCTCTCAATTTCTTTTATTTTAAAAGGGGCCCATTAAGAAGTTTTCTGCTAAAATCCAAATAATATTATACAACCAACCAACTGACCAACTGATTGAAGTCCAAAGAACTTTCGTTTAATATAATTAAGTTTAGTGTGTTAGATTAGCAATGAGGGTTCAGGGGTTAACATTACAGAGGAACCAGGGGCTTTACTCTAACTTTGTGTCATAGAATCTAATTAGATAATTTCTTCAAAGAATGTGGAGTTCCTCAAAATTAAGATTAATTTCATKTTGTCAGATTTTGAGTTCAGCATTCTTATCACACAAGCATTTTTAGGGCTAACAGTGACATATGTAGGTAAAAGTACAACTCAATAAACTCTAAAATGCCCCCTTGCCTGGGTTGGTTTGTACTTAATAACTAGGTTTTTTTCTTAAGGGACATTTTTTATTCTAATGTATATTTGTGTATGGGATATGTTTTAAAAACATATTTAAAAATAGTTATTTTGTTGTGATTTTCAGTGTTTGTGCACATGTATACTATACATTTGTACCTATACCAAAACTATAATATGTTCTTACTATTTAAAGTGTATAAGTCGACAGTGAATCACCAAAATTTTTTAAGCCAATTAACARAGTTACATCTGGCCACCATGAATTCACATACTGTGCTAGTTAATTAGCCCATAACAATCAATTAATATAAGTTTACAGATGCAAAAAATGTAGACAAAACAAAACAAACAAACAAAACCCCAAACAGTGTATCATCTAAGCTATAGTACATCATGAAAACACATATCAAGAAGAGGAGTGGTTTTACCCTCTACCTTACATATAAATAATTCAGCTTTAAAAAAAAATATCATCCATTGAGCTTTGTTGCATGGTAGATGTTGGAAAATGGGAATATCCTTGAAGGATCATATTTTAGCCCATGAAACTATGAATATACAGGACCATTATATTATAAAAATGCTTTGGGTGGCTTGATTAAAAAGTTATGCTACAGTTGATTTATAGATATTATAATTGTCTTGTGTTTATTTTGTTCTATATGTGGTACCTCTGATTACCCGATCTTGGGTTTCAAGGAGAATTAAAAATAATACATCATAACTTAGAGATATGTTTAGCAGCAACTGCTGAGCCCTCTGTTTCATTCTGATGCAAAGCTTTTTAGCAGGGATTWTTAACAGTGATTACCCAAGGTCACAAACCATGTGTCCTCTTGCTTCCTGCTCAATGCTCAAGTTTATATGAAACAGAGGCATTTGAGGGTGCCACCTTCACGTAATTGGTGCATCATCACAGGATGATTACATGCATCTTTGGAGACATGGCTGTGTTTGGAATTTGAATGACAAATGGGTAAATTCACCAGTAATCACAAAGCAGTGATCACCGTGGCAACATGGATGAGCCAGCTGCATTTTATATTTGCCATAATATAAAATGATGCAAGTACTTTAAAACATCTATTTCAACACAGAGTCTACATCTATCAAAGATATGAGTTGTTCCCTCACAGTCAGGATGGTGAATTTAATTTCTGATTGTTAAAGAATTKGCAAGTACATTTTAAAAAAAWTTTTAATTTAGAAAAGACTTGGATAAAATTCAGTTTCTGAGATTAGTGTGTAATTTTGTAGTTAGGTAAATATCTATTCATTTTCATTAGTGCTTTCTAGATGAAATGATGTTAAAATTAATTCTCAATTACTTGTGGTGTATCCTCTTAAATTTAATACACAACCTTTTCCTTTAAGGCTTTTTCTTAATATTTATTTAAACTATTAAATATTGTGAAACATTGTAATCTTGCATATTTTGTAAGATGATTAGGTTTTATTTTTGTGCTCCTATTTATTTTGCCTTTTCTGTTGCTTCCATATTTATAGCTTGACATTTATATATCTTTACAAATGGCATTCAGTGGAATACACTCTGCATTCAAAATTCAGACAGCTACATGTCTTTTCGTTTTTATTAATATCCTCAAATCTTTGAAACCCAAGTGTTATGAAGGCAATTGAACTTCTGTTCACAAGCTCAGAGTGGAATTGCTGCTGTCATCCAGAAAACATACTATGAGTCAAAATCTGACATGCTCAGCTTTGCTAATTGTGTCAGAGTGGTTAGGAGAGAATGTTCAGTCTTTGAAGTCAGGAAGCCCTTTGCTAAAGCTGAACAATTGGGTCAATTTGCCTTATTTTTTCTCAAATAGCAGAAATTATCAATGTAATACTTACCCTACTGTTTTATAAATGAGGATTAAATTGAAAAAAATATTGCAGGTCAGTTCACAGTTTACCCAGTGTTTCCTGTGCTCACATCTGCTAGTGATTTCACCAGGAGGCTCACATGACTTACCTAAGACATATACCTATTAAATAGCAAACTGGGACTTGAACCCAGCTCTCCAGGCTCTAAGGCCAGTACTTTCTTCACTACTTCACAAATAATAAATAAGGAAGCATTTTGAAAAATATAAAATATTGTAGAAATAAACAAGATTATGTATACTTAACCAAATTTAATTCAAAACATTGTTTTTGTACARCTATTTTATGTGACACTTGACAGGAATCTACATGAACTTGATAACCAAATCATTTCTTTTTTTTAAACATGAAAAGACCACCTGGAATTTTCCATAATGTGTATTTTATTTAATTTAGTTTTCATGTGAAAAAAACAGAGACTATCTTTAAAATTGGTGGTCTATATAACGAACTACTAGTATGGTAACAGTCACCATATTCAAAAGATATGCATTTCTTCAGACTAAGTTATGGAGTGAAATTCCATTTATTGTTTATTATTTTTCCATCTTTTTTTGTAAAAACAGGTCCTACTATGAGAAAGATAGAAGAAGCTTTTTTTTAAGAGGGTAGGATATCTAGTCCACCCCAGGAGACAAGATCAGTAGTCATTGATGGAGGGAAGGTATGCTCAAAGGACTCCACGGACCCAGTTTTCTAGGGTTCATGCATCTTGTAAGATTGGAGAATTAATTGAGAAATTACTTGTCATTGGGAAGACTAAAGGAAAAATTGAATAAATGGAATTTCTTTACTGTGGATGAAAAAGTCAGGCAAASGTTTCTATGATCAGTTGCTGGTAGCTTTCAATTCTAAATGGCAACATTTTTATTCCCCCAAACTTGATCGCCAAATATATGCATGGATTTGTGTCTCAAATTTTCATATTCATAATTAAATCCTGCACAATGAATTTCCATTTTAAAGTCGAATGTACAATTTATGTTCAAAAAATAAGTCAWAATTACCAGGTTTTAAGAATTCATGCAAAAAAAAAAAGAAGAAAAGAAAAAAGAAGGAAAGCAACTTATTCATTTCCTAAACATGATTTCTCAGACCAACAACAACATAAGGCTTCAAAATAATAGCCCCCATGTATGATTTCAACCAGTACAAATGAATTTTAAGTCTACCACGAGGACATTTGCTCCATTGAGAAAGTTCATTTTTGCACAGCTGTGGTGCATATCATCAGCCTCTCCGCCCTAGATAGCTCCCCATAGCTCCAAAGGCACAGAACAAAAGCTGAAATTATAATGGAACTGACCTATGCACACATTCTCATCGTCCAGCTGTGCAGAAGCATTTCTGAAGTAGCCCAGCCTGCATAACTCACAGTGCTGCCCTCTAGTGTTGTGTTTACAGCTCACGCAAATGACTGTATTTAGCAGATCGATATAACTGCATCGATTGGAGTGGCCGAAGCATTCGCAGTCTTGCAAGGAAGAACAGAAATGTATACAGAGTGTATACAGCAGCAGAGAAATAGCACACTACATGCTTGGGTGAAATGAGGGATGGAGAAAAGATGGTGGAATGACATCACATATATTGAATCAACACAACACATGGCGACAACAGGTGGTTGTGACTGGCATGGAAGTAGCATCTGTTTCAAGCAGGATAGAAAGGTCGGACATTCAGAACATGACTGAAGATCATTAATTCTTGGCAGACAAGATGAACAGAAGCATTTGCAGGTGTACGCCTTTTAAAATTTGGGAAAACTTGGTTTCTATTGATGCAAAAGTCTAATTTCTGCATATGGAACACTTTACTGTCTTTGCACCATTTCCCCTCTTTTCTTTTCAAGTTTGCAGTCTTTAAAAGAAGGAGGGAAGCACATGAGCACYGAGGGTCAGAATCTCCTGTCCCCTGTGGCTCCTTTGTCTCACTATTGTTCATGTCAAGAGAGCAACCTGGTCAGGATTTCATAGAAATTGTGGCAAATTTAACAGGGATCAGGACAACTACACAATTCTACATTTTGAATTTTTCCCAGTGTTAAGAGAAGATGGATCTTCATGACTTTCTTCGGGCCAAATCTGCATGTTTACATATGAGAGAAAACATAAAAATCAGGGAAATTATTCTTTTAAAAAATGTACTCTTGCAATGTCCTTTTTTTTCGATTTTTGTGCTAAATCTGCTAAAAAAAAAAAAAAAGGCAGAGTAGGGGGAAGTAGGCAACTTCTACATGTCCGGATTTAGTTTCCTTTTTCTCTCTAAAATGTTAACCTCTGAGGCTTGGAGTGATGGTGGAAAAACAAGACAGGGAGACGAAGAGGATGAGAGTGGTTGGGGATGGTGGAAGGTGACTGGATTGCCTCATCTCAGCCAAAGCAAGAACCTGTTAATCTAATTCAAATGTTTAAAAATAAACGGTAAAGATGTTCCTTCTGTTGGAGAACTAGTTATTAAATGAAACAGAAAAGAAACTGTGAGTGATAAGTAGGTGGGAAATYTACCGTGTCTTCTCAAAAGATGGGGATAGGCCTAGCTGGACAATTGTAAAGTAGGACAATCCCAATACTGAAAACTGTTTATCTATTAAATATTCTTCTCATTTGTGTCTGGATTTTATTTTTCCCACCAGGAAGCCAAACACAATCAAATTTGAATCCATTCATTCTTCCATCCATTCACTTATTCACTCAATAGTTCATTGAGTTAGTCTGTTATGTTCTAGGTACTATGCCAGTAGTCAGAATACTTTTTTGGCCTACATAAAATCTGAGAAATATTGCATTTTTAGGATCAGAATAAAATTGAGTGTTATCAAGTAAGTAAAGAAGAATAAGGAAAGGTAAATATATCTAAAAATTGTTAATACACTATCACATATTGGAAGAATGTGCTTCATTKGTTAGAAAGCTGATTAATCCAGTAGCCTGCTGAGGTCAAGGTCCTGACAGAATGATATTCAATTTGGATACAAGAAATGAAGGACCTAGGGCTTAGCAAAGAGTAGAAGATACCCAGGGAAGAAGAAGAAACGTGTGAAGCCAAGTCACTTCCTGTCTTTGAGGTCTGCTGTAATCATGTGCAGGAGTGTGGCTGGGAATAAGAATAGGGAGAAATCAGAGAGAAAGGAGGTTATTGGGAGAAGAAGGCATTGAAACATCAATATAGGAGGTAAAATAAGAAAATAAATTCAATAAGTCATGCCAAGTAAATAATAACACCACTACCAATAATAATAGAGTTACACATTACCAAAGTAAATTCTTTTAGTAAAACACAAGCATTCACTTCACTCCATGATACCTGCTTGAATTACAACTTGTGTGTACTGGCATCTCTGACTCCCTAGGAAACTGGCAAGGATTCTAGAGCTTTCATCCTCTGAGGGTGTGAAGCAGTAAGAATCTTTCTAGCCTGCAGCCTCCCAGGAACAGTGGTTGTAGGATCCAAATCTAATTGTTTCCCAAGGATTTCTTTAGAGCTTTCTGAAGAGAGAGCAATGACAGAACCATCCTCAAGGTCTCCTCCTCTGGGGGAGGCCTGTGTTCTTTGTCCTTCTTCACATTCCCCAATCCAGGTAGGTCCTTGGTGTACCTAATTAAATGAATCCATCTTTTTTTTGAAAGCATCTCTTATGTGTAAAAATTCATCTTTGGAACTTTTTGGAACAACCCAGAAGTTTGATTAGTGGGTAAGACAAACACACGCTCAGATAGCTAAAAAAAAACAAAACCGTAGTGCTAAGAAAATAAAATAGACACACAAAGCAATCTAGATAGAAGGAGAAATTCATTTAGCCTGATGGAATTAGGAAAAATGTCCATACGACTTGAACACTGAAGCAGGTAGAGTTTATTTTAAAATGGTGGAGGGGGGTGGGTGGGAATTGGCACTCCTGGTGAAAAGAATAAAGAGCATGAGAGGATAAAACTGAGAAAATGTGAAGAGTGAATCTGGAGAATTTTCATAACATGATTCCTTTGTGGTAAAGGATTCTGCAGGTTCTGTCCAATGGCCAGAACTACTTGCTTAGCTCCACCTGACAAAACCATAATGAAGAAAAAATATATCTGTAAGATATCCAAGGTCAGGGTTGGGTCAGAGGTTTAGTGATAGAATGAGTCCCCGCCTTGTGCATTTAAGGCCCTGTGTTCAACCCCAAATGCTGAGAAAAGGAAAAAAAAAAAAAAAAGATATCCAAGCACAACATGCGGAGACCCATTCCATATGATTCATCATGGCCATTCAAATGTAGCGTTGTTGCCTACTACAATTCAAATTAATTGAGTAGTACACATTTCTGTGATGATTAATTCTTTGTGGGTTTCTTTTGGAAATTTATCTATTAATTTTGGTAGGAAAAGTTAAGTAATTATATAAGAAATCATACTCAGCTAAACATACTATTTTAAACTTATTTCAGAAAATAAGCAAACATTTAAATGTTTTAAAATCTCTGAGATGGATTAATAATAACTTGATTATTTTAGACCATCTAGGACTCTTTTGTGACCTTAATTAAGCTGTCTTCTCTGGCCATTATATATTTGAGAATATTAAATATAAAATTTTTTGGAAAAAATTTTTGAAAAWGATCTGAAAAACATGATAGAAATGAAAGGCATTTCAGATATATTATTAGAGTGCCATATTATTTTCCTGTACTCTTGTTAGTTTACCGTTCTTTAATACCTAGGCCTTTAACTGAGGGACAAACCCCATTAATGATCATTAATGATATAATATGAGTGGCATTCATATTAAGAAACTGAAAGGGTGATACTAATAGTTTAATAATTCTTTAACGCTCTGCCATGTCTCCCCTTCTCTCTCTCTCTCTCTCTCTCTCTCTCTCTCTCTCTCTCTCTCTCTCTCTCTTGTGGGGAGGGTACTAGGGATTTAACCCAGAGGCACTTTACCACCGTGTTACATTCCCACTCTTTTTATTTTGAGTCARAGTCTCACTAAATTGCTTAGAGCCTTACTAAATTACTGAAACTGGACTTGATTTTGCTATTATACTACCTCAGACTCCGGAGTTGCTGGGATTRCAGGCACTTGCCACCACACCTAGCCTTCCCCTTCTGTTCTTATTAAGTATGGAATCTATGGTCCATCCTTATATTTACTTAATTTACTATACTTCATTGCCCCTCTGTCCCCTAATCCTAGTACCCTGGGAAAACCTGATCTTGGTTAAATTCAGCTCTCCACCTCTCCATGTCTACATTCTGGCAGTTGAACATGGCTGAAGTTTTTCCTCCAACCACTTTGAAACCAATCCCACTTTTAATTAATGATMTTTAACTCAATGGATTCCTCAGAGCTGCCTGGCAGTCAGTCCTTCCTTAAAAGGGGGTTTGGGGACTATCACTTTCTCAGTGTTCTTCCCCTTACCTACTTCTTCCATTTGTTTTAAATGTTTTTTTTCATTTTTCTCCTTATCTCCTTAAATGTCTAAAGGTTTAGTCCTTGGATCTTAAGATTCACCTTAGATATTTTCTGCCCAGTCCCATGTCTTTAAAAACCATCCACCTGTGGACCATTCCAAAATAATTATTTCCAGCCTGGACYAAGTCTCCAGTGAGAGACTGCATTCAGACTCCTATACTGACTTGAACTGCCTCTTTAGTATCTCCACTTGAACATTTAATAAATACCTCAATTTTTAAGTGTTCAACACTGAGCTCTTGTGTTACCTTCCTAAAACTGTTGCTTACCAGGTGGCCCCGTCTTAGTAAATAACAGCTTCATTCTTCTTCCAAATGCCTGGGTTTATTCTTGGTGCACCTCTTTTTCCCACTCCCTACAACCAATCCAATAGCAGACCCTCTTGGTTATTCTTTTAAAATACATCTCTACCATCTCATCCTTGGTTAAGGTCACTGTCACTCCTCACTTGGATTATTGCCATTGTTCTCCAATCTGCTTTCCTGGGTTCTACCCTTATGATAATCTCTTCAGAGTGACCCTTTCCAATGGCTTCACATCTCACTAGAATAAAAGGACTTTATTCATTCCCAGATGCTTTGGCCCTTGGCTTCCCTGAGGCTCCAGGCCACCATGTGCCTCCCCACTTCTGTGTGACATCTCAAGGTTGCTCCTAAAACATGTAGGTTTTTTCTCAGGATCATTATGCTTGCCATTACCTGTGTCTGGTGTACTCCTTCGCAGAATCCACCTCAAACATTACACACTACTTGCTTCCTAGCTGCTTTTTAAAATCTCTGTTCAAAGAAAAATTTCTGACCACTTTACCTGAAATAGTAGTCCCAAATCCAAATATCAGGACCCCTTAATTTCCTAATCCATTTTCTCATAGAATTTGTAATATCTGAAAATTATATTAAAAATTATCCTCTTATGCTCCCACTATAAATATACAAGTGTAGACTGTCTATTTTGTCCATTCCTGTAATCACAGAACTGAAAACATCATTTGGCACATACTCATCACTCAAAAAATGATTT